ACCAGATATAGAAACTTTCATGAACTGGTCATAGGCTTAACCAAAAATGTGTGAAGTCAAATGCTAGAAGAGTTTACAAGCAGTCCACATACAATACATTAATCACAATGGAGAATAAACTAGCCGGGCATGTTCCACACACCTGTTGAGGTAGACTCGTTTCTCTGTGAACTGTCCTTGGCCATGCGTTGGGTCTTCATAGGGTTCATTCTGGACAACTTCCACCCCTTCTCCCCGATCACTCTGCTCATGACTGTGCTTACTGATCATGTACAGCTGTCCAATCCGGTACTGGAAGAGAAAAAAAGAGAAGACAGGTTCACACTAAATTGAACTGCCTCTGTATGAAAGGTGATATATACAGTAAACACAGCTGCCTTGCCTTGACAAGAACCACTTGGAAAACTTTGTAAATAACTGGTCTGCTGAAAAAACCTAGAAGAAAACATCTGGATATAGTTTTAAAACTATGTCCAGATGCTTTCTCCTAAGTTTTTTTCAGCATACTATGACCTGGATGACTGAGAATTTCCACAGACATAAATAACTGGTCAACATTCTGCAGTCAAAGAAGGGTGTATTAGAAGTGAAATGCTCATAAATCAAGTATCAAATCCTGAGTGCATACAGAAAATTCTTCATCAGCAGATGATTGCTATTGAGAATGTGGTATGACTGAAAGCTCCAGAACAGCTACTAAACAGCCCCAATGGTGCTTTCTTGACTGCTACCTCCAAGGTCAAATATAGACTTAATCCTCAGTGTTTCACGTACAGGTATTTAGTTACTACAGTTGACATTATAGTCACTTAGAGTCAGTACCGGAGCACAAACTCTGCATCATATAAAACTTGATTAATGAAAACATTCTTGGCAAATGCTTTTGCTTTCGTCCGTCTTGCGCCAGTCCAAGAATTTCACCTTTAGCGGCACAATACGAATGCCCCCGGCTGTCCCTCTTAATCATGGCCCCAGTTCAGAGAGAAAACCCACAAAATAGAACCGGGGTCCTATTCCATTATTCCTAGCTGCGGTATTCAGCAGTGGTTGAACTTTTGAAAAACTATTTTTCCCCCTCAATCAGCTTTTTAAAATAAGTTGCGGGGCCCTAAATGAACTTTCTATCTCTGACTTAAGCGGCTACAGTAATCAGGTTATTCACCAGCTGTAACAATTACCCCCTGTCTAATTATCACAAAATATATCCCACCTGCATACTCACATTTTACATTTGCATTTCACTTGCTACTTTGTTTTTGATTGCAGAAACACAATGCTGGGTTAACAATAACAAACACTGCTAGTTCAACAAAGCTAATTTCAATTCCACACACTTTTGAAATTGATTCATCTGCTGCACAGTTTGCTTCATCTGTAAAAGCAGAATAAAAAAATTGATCTCATTACTAAACACTAGTACAGATAAATGATCTGTACATTACCTCGGTACTAATCCATACTGAGAATATAGATGGAGCAGTCAAGCTGACTTTAATGATACAGGTTTTAAACTAGCTCAGCTGTGAGTCCTCTCTGAGCCAACACTCGTTTGTTATCTGTTGCCTTATAAAATGATGTAAAGTCATGGCTGGTTCTGCGTGCATCTTCAATGAAAGGGCAGACTTACTGATGCCCTGGAGCATGTTTACTTTATTCAGACAATAAACTGTGGATTGACTGCATTGCTTTTGTCTGCTTTTGATCTTTAATCTTCTTATTCTCAATCCAAAGCTTTGAATTTGGAATCCAAATGACTCAATGACTGCAAAGCAAAAAATTAAAATAAAAAATGGCTGGGAGGAAGTGTAAAACCCTGAGTTTTAATAAGGAGGGGCTGAATTTAAATCAAAGAGAAAAAAGTCACAACTGGAAATTTTTGGTACCAGATTGAAAGTATAGTAAAAGAGTCAGAAGATGAAACATATGGTGGCTGGGGATTACCTATAATCCATTACAAGCTGTGAACAAATGAAGCTGCATGCAGTTTCCTGCTCTTCTCTGTCTATGATCTGCTATCTCAGTTTGAAAAGAAGCCTCAGGGGAGCTAAATCAACCTATTCCCCTAGATTCCACACTTCCTCTCTCCCTGACCTTTACCTGTCATGACTGTTGGCTGAAGTGTGAAATGCTGTCAGAGGGAAATGTGAGGTGCTCACCCAGAATAGCTCCCTGTGGGCATTGGAATGGTGTCAGGACCATGCTGTTGTTACAGATTTATTGATATACCCGTTTTACACGTAAGCACTAAAATAAATTAAACAATTATACAAAGCCCAGCTAGGAAGAATCTATAAACCAGCAGCGACAGCAGTCCCTGTCATAGAGGATTTGCACTGTTAGGACACCTACAGCTCCTAGAAAGCCAATTTTAACACTTGCATGCAGGGATGTGTTTTGGGCATAACATGCAATTATCCAATCAGTGTGTAACCTCACATACCCTTTAAGAGATGTGTGAGTTTGAACGTTTGGTGGTTTGCTAGCATACTGGCAGATTTGCCAGGTCAGACGTCAGTAAAATTTTTCCACTGATCAGAATGGTATTTATTATAAAAGCATATACGTATAGTGATGTGCACAACACCCAATGAACACAGTGTCATCTTTTAATTTTTTAAGTTTTGCATGTCTTGCGCAGCACGTCCCATAAGCACAGTCAACACGGTCAAAGCGGCCATTAACTAGCAATGATGAGTTGACATTGACCACAGACCTGGTTTTTGCTGGTCAGTGGTGCAGACATTTTGTGCACCACCATATTTTCAACCCACCCAAATTTTCCCTGGACACACCCCATTTATCATCCAGACACACCTGCCAGCGCAAAGTCAACAGACTGCTGCTTGGTAAAAAAAGCAACATCATGTCATGAAACGAAAATGGTAATTGTGCAGGTAAGGGATTAGGAAACATAGACGTGCTACCCGCCAGGCACATCATGTGTTTGCTGCAAGATAGGGCTGCTGAAAATAATGTCGCATCTTCATGTGTTACTTAATACAGACACTAGGGTTCAACTATATGCAAGTGAACTGTTATTAGTGCATTTATTTAATATGGATGATTTCTGTCTGTTTTAGTTATCAGACTTGAGCAAATCTGATGTGTAATACAGTCTGCAGGGAACACGCTGAGACAGTTTGGAGTCAGTCACAATGTCAAAAAGATGAGCACTGAAAATATGTACGCTTTCATGGCAGGGCTGTATTAGAAAAGCTTTTGTGCATACAGTAATTCAATGTTTAAAATGGAAAAAGCCCTGTGCCCATTTGTGGGTTAATTCAATAATGCAGCATATAGCAGAAGTTGAATGAGCTGATGTTATTACATCACCTCTCTTATCTCTTACAGAGTATACAGTGACAGCCAGAACAAATTGGACAACATGTTCTTTCTGCATCACCTTCAGTCTCTTCCCTGCTAAACCGCAGCCACGTCTGCTCCATTAATAAAGTTCACCTTTTCACTGAAGTCTACAAAGCAAAGGCAGTGTTTCTAAATACAGAACTGGGCTGTGATGAGGGCAGGTTACAAGCTACTGTAGGTAATGCAGATCTTCTTCTGTGGCTGCCAGAAGGGAATTTTTGTGAGGCCTTTGCTGATAAGTGAAGACAAAGTTGCAGAAAATGAGTGGGGTACATAAGGAGAGAAATAAATGCTTGGGACATAGGGTTGTATGGGCAATGTGACATCAACCTTATTTGATTTTGTTTAGAAGAGATGTTTTTTTTCTAATCACTTTCTCAATGAACTGTAGCAATTATCAGCTTCTAAAAATATCAAGGATGTGCATACATTAAATAGGCCTCCTCTGAGGGGCGGTACGTTTATTTGAAATGTTTGAAGGCACCATTATGAATGTGCGTGACCATGAACAGCCCAGTACAGACCGCTCCATATTAGGGAAGGTTTGCACAACAACAAATAAAACCTTAACCTGACTGGTTGAAGAGCCCTGTTATTGTCCCCTGTTGAAGCAAAACAGAGGACACTGCAGTACTGAAGTAATACTGAGTCTCTTGTCTAGAATCTTCACAGTGTGCTCAGTCATTCAGCCACGTGACTCTGCTGGCACAAAGAGGCTGTACTTACCTAATCTTTATTTGATTTGTCTGATGGCAAGGCATTCTGGTTTGTTGTTGCTCATTAATCAGAGCCAATAAACTACAGCGTGTTGTCATTCTCTATTACAAAGTTCTGGTTGAGGTAATTGAAACCCAAATCCACAAATTCAGAGTGTGAAATGACAACCTACTAGTCAAAGTCAAAGTGTTTATTGTCATATGTACGGTATGGAAACACGTTTCCATGTACAATGAAATTCTTACTTTGCCGTCCACATGAATGCCACACAATACAAATGAAATATAAAGTAGATGAATAAGTAACACAAAATCTAAGACACTTTAAAGCAGCAAATGAAGAGATAAAATAAAAATATGTAAGAATATAATAAGAGAATGTATGCAATATGGGAGCTGTATGTGCAGCAGTCAACAATCAATGTGCAATTATGCATGTGCAAACTGAGAATGTAAACAGTACAGGTCGACAGTGCGTCATTACATGACGTATTTCCTGGTAATAAACTTGGATTTTGAGCTTGTTTTGTCTATGTGGTAATTTTACAGCACTGGATGAAAGGTTTAGCAAAATTTGCCTGTGCACCTTGCACATTACATGGATAAACTGTACTTCTCACCAGTTTCATTCTGACATTGAATGAATGACTGAGTGATTACATTATCAGATGTCGGATATGAATCAGATCTGGGACAACAACATATGCAAGTGGTTTGTGGTTTGGTTACATATTTGTGGGGGAAAAAAATCTGATCTGTGTCACTTGGAGCGAGGGGATCACAAACATTTTTTTTTCCAAATGGAATCACTGTGTAAACATCTGGTTTGTCCTTGGTATATTTACACTGCACAATTACAACAGAGGGTTTATAAGGGGAAGGCACGTAGACTACTAGCTTGGCAGTTTGTTATCTTGCTAGGTTTGAGATATTTAGCCACAGGCAGAGTCAAAGCAAATTGGATTTCAGTTTCTTCTACTAAGTGCATTCATCTCAGATCCTTGTAAAGTATTAAACCCAGTTAAGTGCAAAAGAAAAAAATCTGGCTGTGGTATTCATGCCTTCTTTAAGCATGATAAGGCTTTCGTTTATCAGACTTTGACATTTGATCAATCAATGATCTAACAGATGTCTTGTTGTTCTTACCTGCCCAGATTAACTGAAAAAGCTTCAGATTTCAAAAACCACCTACAGTAAAACATGCCAGTT